TTCTCAAGGAATCCTTCCACCGTATGTGACTAGATACTCACAATTGTTCCATGTGCCTCGTAAGAACACGAATTATCTACATAATCCGCCACTGTTTCGGGTTTTATCTAACTATGACACTAATTATGAGGATGTTGTATTTTACACCTTACCAAAGAGTGATGTGAGGCAATATTTGAAGAGGCTTTAACTTTGCTTAGCATTAACCATTTAGTTTTTCTTTGAAATATTAAGTATTATTTGTCGTTTGTTTAATATTAAATTTCAGTTTTCTTTTATTTTATTTTTTTTGTTTTCTGTTTCATATATACTGTTTAAGTGTTTTGTTTTACAATATGTATGTCAGCTGTAAGATTACTAATAAATAAATAAAATGAAAAAATATTCGTATAGATTAAATTTTATTATTTCTCCATTACAGAAGATTTAACGTACAACTCTGAGTGTCTTTATCTCAGTAATTTTCATATCGTCCAAGTTATATGACGAAATAGAAATTTTCCTCGCTGGTAAAGGAAGCACAATTCGAACAATTAATGATGTTGACTCTAACAACAGCTGTTCATATTGCATGTTACCCGAGTCTAACGTTAGGTTGTTATGACCAAGCTGTCATATTGAAATTATGACCCGTGTTATTAATAACGTTCGATTTTATTTACTAATAAACCTGACTAAGCCGTGTTGGTGTGATACGTCAGTGAAACTGTTTACAGAAAAAACTAACGACAGTTCAACTAAAAGCGATATACACGATTCTATAACTGTTTAATTGTGTGTGTGAGTGACTTCTGTTTAATTCCAAATACCTCAGAGTGTTCCTAAAGTTTACCATACAATTCAAGAAGACAGGACGTAAAAATAGACTGATAGAGCTTCTTTGTAAACTTATATGATAGTCCATCCTAATTGCAACTATTACAATAGTAATGTTTATTCTAATTTAGACAATAAAGTGAAGACCATCAAACGGACCTAAACCGTCCGTGTTTTCACCTTCAATATTTAAGTCTTTACTCAACTATTATGTGATATTATATATGATTTTACTGAACATAATGTCCACTTTGTTCCAAGAAATATAGCCATTACACGTACCTAAATATCATTTGAGCGGCAGCGCGTCGTGAAACTTAATATTGGCGCATTGATCAATCTAAAATTTAATTAATTTAACATAAACTGAGTTCTAAACTTCACACCCAATACCTTGAGTATTCAGAGTTAGTTTTGTAAATAATAATGATATACATATATCAATGAAATACAAAATATATAAAAATAATTTTACCCGAAAACGTTTGATGGTATCGCATTCATTTTTACGTATATTGTGACTGTGTAAAGCTTTCTTTGTGAGATTTTCGTCAAAGGAATTATACCTTATCTTTCGAGGTGATCAACGTGTTTGTGAAGGTGTAAAATGTTTAGGGAAATGTTTTTTTTTTCTTAGTAAATTTGAAGTGTTCTAAATGTTCTACCCTATTTGGTTTGTTATAAATTAGAAGTTTTAGGTTTTTATATGAGCCCTGGTTAAGTGTATATATAAGTGAATACTTTGCCTCATCCTTCAACAATTTTTTATTTATCATATTTCTTATAATTTTAACCCTTAAAAAAGTAAACCTCTCTCGCTGGTGTAGTTTCTATATCTGGTGGCTTTTTAATTCATAGTTTTGGAAACCAAATAAATCTGTATCTGTTAAGCATACCTACTTGTACTTGTATTAAAGTAATTATTGAAATCAGATTAAAATTCTGCAAATCCGTATTTTAATATATTATTTTATCTTACAAAAATTTATTTCTGTCAACGAATATTGATCATAATCGAGATCTCTGTACCTTCTTCCTTTAATGTATACCATACTACGAAAATGTTGAAGGTATTATTATTGACAAATTAGCATACTAACAACATAAAGTTTTTTTAATAAATTAAAGTTCAAGTTTGGGTATTCATTCTTTCAAGTAAGAATAATCAAAGAAATTAAATTAATCGACCATAATAAATTAGGTAGTGGATTTGAGTGGCTTTACACAAAGGATAATTAGTGAAACTTTTTGCGTGAGTTTCTTAGCCTTTATGATAATCATTTAAGCTGAGCATTCATTTGAAGTTGACAACAAGCTGTCATAATTAGTAGTCAGAAGAAAGTAATGAATTAGAGCTATGGTGTCTATAGCTAAGCATTGTCTCACCTTGTGGCTTGTTGTAAAGCACTTATGAAAGTAATAAATGAAGTTTAACCCATAGAAAACTTTATTTATTTAATCTCGTATTAATCTATTAGTTTATTTCTATTAATATTGTCATGGTTTATAGTCATGTCTTGTCTTATCTTTAGAGATATGCGTACCGTCGCTGTTACAAACCTTTTCTAAGCCTATAATAACGCAAGTAATAGTTTCTTTATCTCCCTAAAATGTTTTTTTTATACGTTTGCAGTCCCGTAAGCGATAGATTGCTTGGCACATTGTGAACTCGTTTCTTCATCTATTTGTTATAATAATTACAATTTATTTACATCAAAAACATACGACGATAATATTAATAAAATAAATAATTTTGTTTAAATAGATTTTTGTGCCATATTGAAAATAAATCCGAACACAAGCATCGGCAGGTTTACGCATTAAATACCACAGAATCACGTAAGTTTTAGTTAGATATTTTATAAGTAGCCTGTGTCAACGGTTAATATATAAAACGAAATTTTTAGGGCCTTTGGAAACACTTTGATAGATAGAAACAATCGAATTTCTAATATGTTTACAAACCAATCACAAATAAAATAAAAAATAAAATGACTGCTTCACGACTGATTTGAGCGCGACCGCCGCTGCAAAAACCGCTGTGAGAGTTCGAAAAGTGAGTTACAGAATCGCAAGGCAGGTCAGATACTTGAATACTTGAATTCTTGAATTCGTGTATGCGGTGATGTTAATTATTTCGACTATGTGTTTGCGTGTTGTTCCCACGAGAATGTAAGTGCGTGCTCCTATTTCACCATGCCTCCTGCTGATAGAGGACAAGTCTTTGTTTTTAATTTATGTTATTATTATTAATTACTTAAGATGTCATGTGGAACATGGTGTAATGGTTGCAGCTCCTTACAAACGTTGTGTAAAAAAAACATGGCGATTAAAAAGAGTGGCGGAGAGTTTATTGCCAGTTCTTCTCTTCTGTTCTACGCCCTTGATTTGAGAACTGGCAGTAAATGTAAAATAAGAAGCATTAATATGTATTTCTTTAATGACGAATCACAAGTGTACATTGTGTTACCTACGTGAATAAATGATTTTTGAATTGAATTGAATTGATACAGATATCTGGCGCTCAGACCTATAAGCTTGTAACGCTATTGGTTTATTCTAGTGCGTGTGTAAAAATTATATATTTATTCCTGTACTTCTTATCCAAAAAATATGGGCCAACGATCTCCACTTTCTCCTACTGAATTATACATTAAAATTTGAAAAAATTATAAAAAATACTTTTTAACCGGATTGAGGTTATGTATTATTATAAATTTACAATTATTTTACATAATTTTAAAATTAACCGACGTGCGCGTGCTTTACAGCGTGCGTGGTCACGGTGACTGAAGTCTGTATTATCTGTATTTATTTTCCCGGAGTTGGTATCAACTAAAAGATGGAGGGTTATGGCAGTAATGGCTCACGGTGTCCTCTATTTTAAATTTATAATAATACATAACTTCAATCCGGTCAAAAAGTGTTCTGTTTAAATGTGTAAAGATTATGTTAATTAAAGACAATACTATATAATAAATATTTAAGTACGAGTATGAAGTGCTCGCGTGAATCAAAGAGTTACATGTATATTGTATATGTTACAATACCATTCTTCCTTCATTTACTCCAATTCACTTTACATGGTCATACCTAGGTTATAATTAACCTGTCCTGGTTCAACGCTCTGGATAAGCTAAAGAAGTTTGGTGTAATTTATTCAAATTTTATTGAGACAGATAAGAAATGGTATTAACGTTTTCGTATGGAACGCAATCATATGTTAATTTTAATTAACAATGCCCTCATTAGCTAAGTAGAATTTTGAGAAAGTTACCTCAAAACAATATTTACTAATGTAAATGAATTCATTCATACTCCAAATATCTGAAATAAAAAACTGCGTTAAAAAATTAAAACAGATTACAATCAAACTATATACATAATAAATGAGTAATAAACTTTATTCATAACAAAATATGGTTGTGCCAAAATTTATCTTATGTTAGACTAGATTACAGCTCTTCCGTGGTATGTAGTGCATATTTAAAGCAAAAGGCAAATGAGTGATATATAAACATATGTTTTCAGAATAGTAGTATCAGTGGTAAATCTAATTAAACAAAAGATTGTGTATACATGAGTGTATAAGAATATGCATGAGTGTGTGTGCGTAAGATATGTTATAACCGTGTCTGGCTGCCTTAGTTTTTACCAAATCGACTGGCATAGTTTTAATGTATTTTCTGAATGTATCTGTATAGTTAGACTATCTCATATGAATAAGTATTTTGATTTTTGAAGATATTGTGTTTCATATTCAAAAACGATTGATTATTATTAGCCAGACAGATTAAAAACAAACGAAGATGTATGAAATGTATTTTGTTACTTCTTATACAAATAATATTTCTGTGCCTACCAAAATATCTCAATTACTGAGTATACACGTGTACATATTTTATTTGCTCCGCAGTACGTAGTTCATAAGGCCGACACGATTCAATACTCTTTTCACTTTTTTCTTTATAGTATATGTTATTATCACACTTATCATATCATATCAGAATTTCAACCTAAGACTATTTTTCTTTTGCCGAGATCAAGCTTTAGATTATTGTGGCAAGAACGCAGTAAGTAAATACCAAAAAATCGCCCTTACCTAACATTCTAATAACTCTTCGCTGAGACGCTCCATTTCTGTAACGCGACGAACCATTCTTCTCACGACTCTCGACTGATGTTTTCTTAAGTGGATGCAAAACACTTGAGGTATTTAACTTAACGGCAATCAAAGCGTACAACACAGTTATCAATGACATCGGTACTACGAAGAACACAAAACTAGATATAACAAACACCTCATGAACACCGTGTCCTTTCACAGTACAAACACTTACATCTCGTCCATTCTCGTTAAAAGTCACTATTCCAAACTGTATCGCTTGTGGAACAGCTGTGCAGAGAGCAAAGACCCATATTACGAAAATATAGCGTACAGCCCTCGAAGACTTCGACATAGTATGTGACATAAACGGCCTGCATATTGCAATGTACCGTTCCACAGTAAACGCTGTTATTGTGAGTACTGTTGCATTGGCAGAGGTCTCAGAGATCAGGCCCATTGATAAACAAAGTGGCTCACCAAGAGGGTAAGTGTTGGGATCCCACAGGCGGTACAACTCTATGGGAAGTCCACAGATCAATAGAAGAAGGTCGGATAAGGCGAGGCTAAATAAGTAGAAGTTTGTAGCTGTGTGCATGGATCGATTTCTTGCGATGACCACGCAAGTACTGATGTTTCCTAGTATACCAGCAACAAAGATGATCGAGTAGATGACAGTCAGCGGTACTATGATGTTCCAGGATTCCTGGTTCGAATCCACAACCTCATATGAGGTCACGTTCGTGTCGTTCCATACACTATCTTCTAATTCCATCTTCGAAGTTACCCCATGACTTGTTCTGAAACAAGAATAGATTATTTACTACAAATATGTATTCGTAATATTATAAATATTAACTCCACACATGTATGATTTCTTTAAAATTATAACAATGATCTGTCTTGACTAAGATAGATGAGAACTTTTATATATTATGGTATATTTTTCCTTTTTTTTTTTGTTTAAAGTTATTTAACAATTTTATACAAATTAATTCTGTGTATAATAATGAAGTTGGCACGGACTGCCTTTTTCTGTAATAATGTTATTTTAAAGCCGTAATGTTCTCTTAGACCGACGACAAAATACTCAGAATTTTCTGGCTTCTTTAATTTACTTGTGTATCAAAATAAACAAGGAAAATTACTTTTCGCAATGTTTCGGTCAAACACAATTACCTACATAATCATCAACCATAAGTATCACAATAAAATATTAATGTTAGTAGTACAAGTTAAATTTCGCAGACCAACGAAAATTCTCAAAACTACATTAATTTAGTAAATAAGTATTTTCATAAATATAAAAAGGTGAATATTTGTCTATTTCTATTGTTCTTTTTTACACAACTGTCTTATTCTTAATAGATACTCTACAAATACGTTCTAAACCAAAATAGAAATTAAAAAGTTTAACTCATCCGTAGTTCTATTATTTCCACAAAGTACTATAACTTATTAACTTACATTAATGCGGCGACCTAGTTTTAATTAAAAGTTTTGTTGGTGTGTAATGAATACTTCGTAACTATAAAATATAATTATTATATTACAATACATTTACTTTATATTTGTATGTACAAGCTTAACAGCATTTAAAGCTTATTTATTTTAAGTAAATAAATGAATGATGATTGTCAAAAATCATGTTGAAAATTACTCGTAAACCTATGTTTATAAACAAGTGGAATAAAAATAGACAAGGACATGTGCATAACTTAGACGTTGAAAATAGTTTAGATAACACTACTACGTTGTATTTGGTGGTATGTTAATAATTTAAATAATTATTTGTGTGAGAACGCGTGTACACAAAAAATGTGTAATGAATGTGCGTGTATGTAAAATAATTTTTCTAACTTTAATATTGTTTCTGAATCTCACCCTGAGTGTGGTAGGCACTCGAGGTGGTTTTAGTAAGTATTCCTCACTGAATACTCCGGACTGAGCTAAGTACACATGGCACTTTTAATGGGTGAAGCCATTTCCACTTCGAATATAAAAAAGTTCTTATATTAAGCTAGCTCAGTTTAAGATAGTTTGGCAAATATTCATTGCCAGATTTTTTACTAAGCAGAAAATAGTAAAAAGTATTGGATATCGGTGCAGCAGGGTGCAGTAATCTTTGACCTTCACGTGATAAAAATAAATACCTATGTAACATGAACAATGTATTGACCAGATTTTAGAATTCAGCAGCCGCATTGTAAATTAAAATTATAAACATTTAAGATGAAATTAAACTATAAGGTCACAGTCTACTGAACATAAACTATTACGTTGTAGTATTTTAGTGTATATATTTAAATATGATTTTAACATTAAGAATCCAAAGTTCAAAAAACTTGAATTTGAGGTCATGTATAATTTAAATATTTTTTACTATAAGTAAACTTTTAATTTATTAGATACTTTTTTATTCAAATTTAATATATTTCTAAATTTATGAAATATAAGCTGATTTACTAATCAGCGTTTATGAACACTTCTCTATTAGTCTTTAAGAAAATATTTTTGGCTGGCGTCGGGACGTGACTACCCCATCGCCTACTGGTGAAATAACCTGTGACAGATATTATTTCACCAGCGCAATCAGTCAACCTAATTGGTGTGAAATCATATTCCGGCAACGTGCTATCCGCAAAGCTTTATCCTCCTTGGACATCCATAAGTCGGTCGGGCCTGATGTCTATCGGGCATCGTTCCAATAGTGCTGCGTACTTGTTCCTCTAAGTTGGCTCCGGTCTTAACGCGCCTTTTCCGGTAGCTGTACTCGCTCGGCATTGTACCTAAGTGCTGAAAGATCGCTTCAATACATCCGATCCCTAAAAAAGGCGATCGCTCTGATCCGTCCAACTACTGCCCAATAGCTATCTATAACCTCCTTATTCTCCAAAATAATGAAAACCATTATTAACGGCCAGCTCCTGAAGTATCTAGTGGGCCACCAGCTGATTAGCGATTATCAGTACGGCTTTCGCTGTGATCGCTCAGCTGGTGACCTCATTGTGTACCTTACACATATTTTTCGAAAAATACTCTCTTTAAAGCCTCAGCCAGCATCGGAATGCTGGGCGTTGGCATATCAAATGACGTTCAGTTTTGCAGTCATTTGGAAGGAAGGTAAGTTAGCCTCTAAGAAGCTTGGTGTGTTTAGCAAGGCGGTACTTCCACCGCTTGCAACTTTATAAAGCGCAAATTTGGCCCCACATGGAGTAGTCTGTTCCTAGCTCTCCCCATATCAGCTCCTTCCGCTGAACCGTGTCCAACGAAGAGCGATTCGAATCGTCGACAACCAGTCACTTTCCGAGCGGCTTGATCCCTTTACGTTGCGTAGAGATGTGGGGTCTCTGCATCTTTACCATGGAGTGTTCAGAGTGGTTATTCGGACTAATACCCGTATCTGAGTTTTATCATTGGACGAGCCTCAAGGCCTCTCAAGGGTCCCCTAAATTTTCTGTCTCAGTCTCATTAATTATTTAATTTAGATAAGCAGGAAAGTACTACACCAGTACTACACCAGGCACCATGCCTTGTAATAAGTACTTTGCTGTACCTGACTTAGAGCGTTTTTAAGCTGAAGGCAAACCGGTTTCCTCACAATCTTTGCTGAATAGTGAAAAGTAGTATATCTTAGAAAGAAGAATACGTGCATAGTCGTGAGTCGAGGTTTGAAAGATTTCAGGGTGATATTAGAGTAGCAGTATTGGATTTTACTTACAAAAGACACTTAGGTAGGTCTACTCTCTGACTCTTTCCCTCAGTACCGTACGTTTAGCCTGACGCTAATCTTCATTAGAAAACTTTTAGCCCTCATCAAGTGATTTTTAAAAACACAGAATAATGAAAACCCTTGGGTTTTAATTACGCCTGGGGTGCTTTAAAAACTATGAAAAGCCAGCAGAAGTATGCAGCCTCTGCATATACAATATTTGTAGATTTTTTTAGGTTAACGTAATAATATACCTCTGTCGCTTCTGAGCAACATAATATGTTTTTAACATCCTAGACTTATCTTTGATAGTTTATATAAACTGTTACAATACCTTATTTAATTAATAAATGACCATCTAAATCACGCAAATACTAACAACTATATTGTTTAATAAACAAGGGCTATATATTTTTGTAAATGCCCTTTTATGTTATTGTCTAATTGGAATGTAACACAATTCCAATAAACAAATTTGTTATGATTACAAAATAAATAGGCACTTAGTAGGATAACAGGAAGGAAAAGTTCATTATAAGGCTTTTAATGTTTGGTTCAAAGAGAAAACTAACAAATAAATGAGCGGTAGAAAGCTTGATCATTCTTTAAAGATCTCAAACGACTGTGAAATTGTAATTCAAAGTAAACAACTGTTAAAATGGAAAACGTTTTAATCTTGTAAAGTTCTTACAAATTAGAATACTTGGACAAATTAAGAACAATTTTAATGTAAAATATGAGGTATATTTTATTGAGATATATCTATCTCAAGGGGTAAAGACATTGCTAGTATCGAATAAAGATATGACTTTTCCATTGGAAATTATTAAATAATATGTCTTTTATTTAAATTTGAATATGATACACGAGTATTTTAACGGGATTTTAATTATCTGTCCAATACTGGATACAAAATTTATCATTTTCGCCGGAAAATTTGGCAATTAAAATCACTTTTATTCAATCAACGTGTTCTTTCGCCAGATATAAATAAAAGCGGCCGATTATTTTTAAATGAACAGCTGTAACTTTTCACATACACGTCAATTTCGTCATTTCGAAATCTGAATCTATTTGCTTGGGGAAACAAAGTTATAGTACGATGAATTCTATCCAGCACTTAACTTTCACAGGTTATCTTTAACTATCCGTTGCTAACAGTCTTATAAAATACAGCGAACAATAATACCGCTGTCTTAAAGAGAACATATCGCTTACTTGTGATTCGTCAAAAGAAAAACACCGTCTGAACTTGAACCAAAAGACCAAGGACTATCAAGCTAAAATTGAAGAAACGACACTCACGTTTCTTAAATTTTAGCTATCAACTCGCTCATAAGGTACACATTGAATAGTTTAATAATTAATATATAAAATCGTCTCGGTGAGTGAGCATGCATAACAAAAGACTGAGTTTGTACGTTTCATTCTATTGAGGTATCACGTCGAATGTGTCCGCGTATGTACTAAAGATGTATATGATGTAGCCAAAAAGTAATAAAATCATTGTGAAACTGGTGTAAGAAGACATTAAGGTAATTAAAACTGTTATGTTACCATAATTCATAATAATATAATACTGACCTTTATTAACAGGATTTAAAAAGAAATACACTATTATCGTGACTACAATACCTTAATTAAAGAATGCCTACGTGTCATATGGACACCAGTATAAAAATTAATGACTTAGTCAGACTAACTGTTTTCTTATTTTGGCAATGCCATGTAACTACTATAAAAGTATCAAATAATTTATTTTTAGCCGAGTGAGTATTCGTGTAAAATAAGGTTCTAGTTTTAGTTTGATTTGATCTTTGGAAAAAACATGATGTCAGTGGAAAGTAAGTAATTTTTCTTATAAATTATTTTAAACCTAACTGCTTGATAGGATTGTGGTCAATAGTGTTATCTGAGTTTGAAATATAACTAAGTGAAAACATTGTTTCGATCGAGTTTTAGAACAAATTTGTTCGGTTCATATTGAAGAAGCATGAATGAGTGATATTATTTCTTCCGCTTTCTTTTATCAGTATATGGATTATGGAATATTCAAAAACAAA